TCTACAGTCCCTGCTGCTACTTCTGCACTCCTGACATCTGCTACAGGATTGCCGCTTGCTGGTCCAGGAGTCCCTCCAGTTCCATATCCAGGAAGTCCCATCTTCCAATCAGCCCTGTTCCAGCAACAAGGAAGTCCCTTGAAAGGACCTGAGATTTCCTTAGCCAATGTCCATGTTCCACTGGAATCAATTAAGCCAAGTATGGGGTCATTGCTGACCACTATCTGTTTAATGGTGAAGTGAAGGATGCATATTTTTATTCTTAGAAAAAAAAATAACGTAGTTCTTCACATATACACAGAGCCCTTCTTCATTCCATATAATGAATGCATGGATTTTTTTTAACCTGGTTTATCCTTTTAGTTTCCAAAAACATAGCCTCTTATCATGGGAGCAAATGCTGGCAATATTCCTGTATATGCTCTCATGACTCTCATGTTTGACACTAAATGTCTGTTACAGTTTTTTTTTTAAAAAAAAACATGTTTTGCTGGAACAAATGGAAGCGAAAGAAATTTATAGTAAAGTGATGCTATTTTTGAGGTAGTTCTATCCCTTTAGAGAAATATTTAGGGAAAATTAGAAAAACAAATGCTAACCTTTTTTCAACATTTATCCTTAAATTTGTAATCAATAAGAGCTATATATTGAGGATGGTGGGGTGGACACATACGGACGGAGACTGGCCAGTGTCTCCGAATTAGCTGCTGAATTTGGTTTTGTGGCAGCCTCTTTTCTCTTGTAGTGACATTAAGGGCTCTTTAAGCATGACATTCTAACTCCTTGAGTCTTAACACTCAACTGAAGAATTATTTCTTGCCTTTTTATGCAAAAGGCTTAGTGCTTTCTCCGTTAGGCAGACTATTCCCTGTCTCCATCATTTTTTCCAACTTTCTCCATCCTATAAGTGGACCCTATTTTCAGGGTTTAAAGATAGTGGCCCTAAGGACACAGGTTCAAACCACATGCAGCTTCTTGAGATGCCCCACCCTACCCCACCCCCAGCACTGAACTGCATGCCTCTAGAGTCATATTTTGATCTGTTGATGCCTATTCTTTGGTTTAGGCCCCCAGCATTCAGGCTGATCACTGCTGCTGTATTGGACTGTTGGATAAAATAGCAATAGCACATAGACTTATATACCGCTTCACAGTGCTTGCTTTACAGCCCTCTCTAAGCGGTTTACAGAGGCAGCATATTGCCCCCCCACAATCTGGGTCCTCATTTTACCCACCTCAGATGGATGGAAGGCTGAGTCAACCTTGAGCCGGTGAGGATTGAATTGCTGGCAATTGGCAGAATTAGCCTGCAATACTGCAGGACTAACCATTGCACCACCAGGGCTCAAGGCTGTATGAGATTAACATACTGCTGGACTGATTACATACGATTCTATTTACTTAGGAATGGAAAATGACCCCCCACCAAGCTGTAACAATAGTAGTGGGGTTGACAGGCCAAGGAGGGAGAACGGTATTACATATAGTCCTCAACTTACGACCACAATTGAGCCCAGAATTTCTGTTGCTAAGCAAGACAGGTGTTAAGTGAGTTTTACTCCATTTGATGACCTTTCTTGCCATTGTTGTTAAGTGAATCTCTGCAGTTGTTAAGTGAATGTGGCTTCCTCATTGACTTTGCTTGTGAGAAAGTCGCAAAAGGTGATCATATGACCCCGGGAAATTACCACTGTCATAGGTACATGCCAGTTAAAGTCCATGCTGTTGGTTCTGTCGATGGCATGTTGCTCTTCTACCATGTAAACACTTTCTTCACCTTGGCAGGCAGTGTTCTTCCTGTGACTGCTTACGACAAGAACGGTTTACGTATTCTGCTGCACTTTGCGAAGGAGTGCCCTCCCGGGAGGCCTGACGTGTTGGTGGTGGTGGTATCGATGTTGAATACAGCACCTCTTCCTATCAAGAATATTGTGCTACAAGCTGCGGTGCCAAAGGTGGGGGAAAGAAGAGAACAGCTGGCCAAGAACCAACCAGAGGAAGAATGTAGAATTCTTTTATTGGTGCAGGAAGAAGCCAAGGAATCCTTCTGGGTCATGGGGCTAAATCAAAGATAGATACTCTAAGGCAGGGGTCCCCAACCACCGGTCCCCGGACTGGTACCGGTCCGTGGAACAATTTCTACCGGGCCGCCGGTTTGCTGGGCACCGCCATCTTGTTTTGATGAAAAAGTGCTTCCGGTGAGCTTTTCCAGGTAGAAAGCGGCGTTTGGATGCTGAAAGAATCCTCGCGCCTTAGTTTCATCGAGGGGGGGTGGTGGCTTCGAACAAAACTAAGGCGCGAGGATTCTTTCAGCACGCATGGCAAGGCGAGCTGAGCGACCGTCCCAAAGCCGCTGCGAAGCCCATCGACACAGGTACAAAGGAGGAGTTGAAGGTGGCGGGGAGAAGCGGGGGACGGCTGGCTGGCCGGTCGCTCGGCTCGCCTTGCCATGCGTGCTGATGCCGGTACCGGGCCGCGGATGATTTTGTGATGCCGGTACCGGGCCGCGGCACAAAAAAGGTTGGGGACCACTGCTCTAAGGAGAATTGTGTTACGATTTCGCAGGATTTTTGTTCCCAGTTACTGCTTAGAATGTCTTTGGATAATGTTGATTTCCACTGAATAACTGGGGATTTCCTCAGCTGACCCTAAATTAATTTTATGAAGGAAGTTACACTAGACAGTGGAGTGGTTTGGTCTTCTCTTAGAAAATATTCCCATTTTTCCCAATACGCTTACAATCAAATGTCTAGTACTATTTCTACAGCAGACATTGCCTTAACTTTTCTTTCTGATGTTTTCTTTGCAGTCCATGAAAGTAAAATTGCAGCCACCTTCAGGGACAGAGTTAGTTCCATTCAATCCCATCAAGCCACCAGCTGCTATTACCCAGGTCATGTTGCTTGCAAATCCTAGAAAGGTGGGAAGGCTTGTGTTCCAGATTCTCCTCCTCTTCTTAAAGATATAGTCGTTTTCCTTATACTGGGTCACGTTTTGTATGTCTCATCACTGTTTTCTTGGACTGATGTGATGGGTAGCAAACAGACTTCAATACTTTTCAGGGTTAGAATAAATAAGAAATATGGAGCATGATGTGTTATTGAATTCTGGTAGGCCTTGTTTTTCTTTCCCCCTGTGCTTCACTAGGACAACTTCTGTGTATATCTGTGAAATTAGGGGACGTACCTCAACCTCTCAATTTTCTGTAGCATCATTGGAACTGTTAATGTCACAGTAATTATGTTAGGCTGAAAGGGGTGGGGTGGTTGGCTTTAAACAGAAAGTCCCTAGAAAGTAATAGTTCTTTACATCTCCTCCAGAGAAAAGGCCAAAGCCATGCTATTGGTTTCTGCTGCCCAAATGACAAGAGTTTTCATCAGCACAGCTATGGACCATTTGGGAAGGGAGTGGGCAGCTGATTTGAAGGTGGGGAAATTATCCCGCCAAAAATCAGTCCTTTTATCTGAGAATCGGACCCAATTGAGTGGAAGAAAAAAAATCCCACAGTACTAGGTTACCCAAGGACTCCCAACTCCCAACTTAAAGGCTGATCAATGGCATGCATCATATATTCTCATTTAAGTGCTCTTTTACTCTGTATTCTGTGGCTGGCTGTTATATTTGGTTTTCCTTTTTCGTTGCAGGAGAAAGTGAGGCTGAGGTATCGACTGACTTTCACATTGGGAGACACGCCCAGCACCGAAGTGGGGGAAGTAGACCAGTTTCCTCCAGTTGATAATTGGGGAAAGCTATGACCCAGAGCTATTTCATGGGGACTGGAATGAATGACATGACAAAGGCACCGGCAGTATCAGTTGGTGATATTTAACTTCGTTTACATGTCCCGTCCACTCCACTTGTAGCTGTAGTCCAGAATGTTTCCCGCACTCTGAGACGATAGTAAATGCCAAGTGTAAACTTGTGGGAGCAGCCAGGAACAGAGACCTGGTTGGTTTCTTTACCTTGGCCAATCCAATTCTATCTTCCACTTCATTGAAACTTGAAATATAAATGTTCTGGAGAATTTGATGAGCGGAAATTGAATACGCTGGAACATTCTTTCGGTTAGGCTAGCGGTCTACCAAGGGCTATGATGCCTTTGTAAATTCTTTGGGGGTAGAGTCCAAATGACCTTCCTATACCCGATTCTTTTTACCTCTGTGGGATCAGAACTAGGATAACCGTTAGGCTTGCTGAGCAATAAGATAACACTTCAAGAAATGGAGAGTTTTGCCATGATCAAGCACTCCATTGACAGAATATCTGTTCCAAGAGCCAGTAGAGCCCATACAGATATGCCACTTGAGAACATCATCAACACCCAGGTCTAAAGTTGCTGCCTTCTAATTTTATACCTGCAGCTGATTTGCTTGTGTGCTTTTCCCAGTAGCTGCTGAGTTTTGTATGCACACAGCTGTTTTTCTTCTGCGTACACAATTGTCTCATTTTTGTGAGTTAGCTACAATAAAGATCCATATATAGTTTATACACTGCTCAAGTGGGAAGCATGGAGCAATGGAAATACAAATAGTATTGAGAAGGAGCATCCATTCAGGTGGAGTTGCTCATTGAGCTCAAAGGAGGAAGTGATGGAGCTAAGGATCTGAGGCTTCTCCTGAAGGCACTATTGTTAGTTAAAAGTATAAGTATATTAAGCTGTAGGAATGTACCAGATCTGCAGACCAGGGAAAAGAGGAGCCATGGCCACGCATGTGCAGGGATGATACACTCCAGTTTTATTCTTTTTAGATAATAGGTGGGTAAGTGCAATTGTCTATAGGAAATCTTTTATGTTGAGACAGGCAGGCTTTCCTAAATAGTGATACACACGATACGGTTCAAAAGCCATAGAGGGAAGTCACTGCTTTGAGTAATTACTTTCTCCTGTGTAACAGTTTTGGTTTAACTATGTGCTCACCTGGAACAAATCATTTTGTACCCTAGTGACGAGAAGGCCCTGAAAATCTAATCTATGCTACACTGTAACTGAGGACTTTTTGTGTGTGGGAGTTTTAAATTTTGCAACATTTTGGTATTAAAGAGATCGTGAGAGGATCAGACCTCCGTTACAATGGCTGTGACTTCTTTGCGTTAAGCTTCTGTAGACAAGATACAGTTAACCACACAACAGAAAGAACCTCATTGGCTTTTGAAGGGATCCAATTTCAAATCTGTGAGGAGATCGTCCGATTAGCCAAACTCGTGGTATCAGGGCCGCATTATGTAAAGCTGAGCCCAGCAGTATTTTTTTTTGCTCTTGATCTCGTCCTCTCTAATATTATAATCTGATTATCAGCATTTTACTTCAGCTTCTAAGTCTGCCCCAGTGCCATACTTACTTGTACAGAGCAGATTTCACTGTTAAGAGATGGTCTGCAAATCACTCTGATTGAGGAAACCACACACACACACACACACAAAGCACAAGGGCTTTCTGCCAAATTCTTTCATGCTATCAGCAGTGCCACTCTGTCCATGCTGTATAATCCAACAGAAAGATTTCATAGTCTCACTGTGTGGAAATGTACTACAAGCTTTAGAAATTATTTATGAATGTTCCTGTTCACAGGCTGAAGTTGCAGCTTTCTATCAAACACTAAGATTGTAAATATATATTGGACGCATTTGTTTTTCTGCACGCTCAATAAAAATACTTTCTCTACTCTGCTTTAGCTACCTTGCAGCCACTTCCTACTAAATTGTATTTTTGTCTGAAAATTATTGGAGTTAACAACCTGTCCTACATGTTTCTTTACAGTAACTGTGATGTAAACAAAGCTCTATGGCTAAATATCAACTACTATATGTACCCAAGTATCTTCTGGTTTGTTTTTAAACTCTTGAGTAAAGAGAACTCAAGATTTATTGCAAGGAGATCAGATGGCCCCTGGGTTTAAAGTTAAAATAAGCAAATGAAATGATTTGTTTCAACTTGCATGAATAAAACAATTTGGGTTATTTTAATTACAAGATGGGTTTTCCATCTTATAAGATTGTAAGTTTGCAAAAACTTGAGTTTCTTGAAATTTACCACAAAAAGAATGATAAAAGAAATGCAAAATATGAAATTTATTTTTATCAAAATAATAACCCTGGTATGTACACTAAGTTAACAAAGTAAAGTTTAAGAACCATTTTAATTTGCTGCTCATGATTCTTCCAGTGTGCCCTCTTTAATGATAGCTCTTGCTAAGTTTCGTGCCAGAGCAAGCCTTAACATTTCCACCTTCATTATCTCTGCATCATCCTAGAAACAAGAAAAAAAAAAGGGGGGGGGGGGCAAGAATTGAACAACAAGCTGAAATCAATTTTAGAAATATATTTTATAAGTTACAGCATAGCTACATGGGTCATGGTTACGTTACTTCTCATATTTAGTATGTAACTCCGTGGCGTCCTTAAAAAGATAAGCCTAAAGACTACTGAATTTTTCAGAGTTCTTCCTCCATGACTGGGAAAACAGTTCCATCTTAAATATTAATTTAGCATGATGTAATACATATTCAGGATGGAATTAAAAAGAATTTAGAACAAAACTGCTCATCCGTCTTGGAAGAAGAACCCAAAATGTATTCATTCAGAACATATCCAAAATATCACAAGCCACTTCCAGAAATGCATTAAACTTATCTAGATTAGTCCTTCTCAGTCAACTGTGGAATATTCTGCACATTTCTAGTAGACTTCAGTAATTCTCTGCCATTCCCAGAGAGCACCTGCAGCTATGTTTTATTGCTTGGTCAGAACAATGAAAAAGCATACACCCCTCCCCATTAGCATCCTGAAATGTAGGGAAGCAGTGCTGGGAGGAACTTTTGGTAACACTTTCATACCATTAGAAACAATATCTTATGCTCCTTTCCATAGGTTTCAGGGAATCAGTGAATGAAACACAACCAGGAAAAGCAGGCATTAGAATCAAACTCTGAAATGGGAAAGATTGTCCCCTTGATTCAAAGGACAAATTTTCTGTCTGATACACCACTAATTCTCATGGGTAATCTGTTCTTTAAACACACAACATACCTTTCCCCAGTTTTAGCTTTCACTAAAATGCACATTTGTAAAAGCAATTTAGTCAAGTTAACACTTGATCAAAGAAGTTACAATTAAGTTCAGTGTATCCTTATGAGTATGCATAAACATACATAAGGAAAATAGACAAAGATATTAAAACTCACAATTGAGTTGATGTTGCAGGGTTTCAATCTGGGTCAGGCACCGGGACCAGAGGTTTTGTCTTCCGAGCTTTCAGACTTATGCTGGAGCCCATCCTCAGGGAACTTCTCGGTACACTCTGGGCTGTTCCGTGTGTGGTATTTATATGATGGCTCTTGTGTGTAGCTTTTTAGATGCAGGTTGGGTTGTTGATGGCTGGCTATTAAGTCATTGGCTGTAATTTCCTTGTGCTGCCAAGCCCCTGCCTCCTAACCGTAAGTACTTGATAAGCTGGAGGTACATCAGCACTGTTGTTGATGGGTGTGTTACCATATAAATACCACACACAGGCCAGACCAGAGCACAAAGGATGGGCTCCAGTCTGAAAGCTTGAAAGACAAAACCTGTGATCCCGATGACCAACCCAGATTGGATCCTGCAACATTATCCTGGGACATGTATATTTGCCTTCATTTGTGAGTTAATGTTCTCCCCCAATGCACTGATCTCAAACAAAAACAATCACTTCTCTTAATTTTGGTGGGGCTAAATCATGCTCTGTCCTCACATCCTGAAATTGTAATGTATTAGGCCCTTAAAACAGCGTACTTAGCCAGATTACCTGGAGCTTCTCTTTTTTTGGCTCTGCTGCCATCACATCTTCTAAGCATTTCATCAATTCGTATGTCTGATCAGCAGAAAATATCACCTGCAAAAAATGGATTGTAAACTTGATTTAATGGCATTTTCTCTCTCCCACCCACCCCCCATTTAATTTTGGAAGTGGGATTTTAAATTTGATGCTCTGGCAGGTTTGAACCCTAAGCATGTATGGTTATCCTATTAACAGAGAGAATCCTGAAACAGCAATCTTTTTCATCTTTTTTGGTCTGTGTTTACAGCTTTAAGAACAGTTCAGTGTAGTATGTATGAACTTGAGGATTGTTAATACTTTTGTGGCTGCTGTAAATATGGCAAGGCAGGACCAGATGAAGATCATTACTTACGTTATTTGTCTACTCTTGAAAAAGATTTCATTGAACAATGTTGCTGGAAAAGACTCAATTGAGAAACAGGCACATACAAATTAAACTTGAATCAAATCATGAACTTCTTTTTAGAGCAGGCATCAACCCCTCTGCAGCAAGGCTAAGCTCTTCTACTTACAAGCCCCTCTTTTTGAAGGAGGAAACAATCTGAATGCAATATACACACTTCCCTCTCTCTTTAGACCAACATTCTTATGATTACTGAGACTTGCACTCTAGCATCATTACTTGACTTTTGGTAACAATATAGCACTGAAGCTGGTCAGGATCATGCAACTTCTGGCGCAACGTTGTCTTTCTTGGTTTAGATTAATACCACTGCCTAGCTGGTATCAATCAATTCATGTTGTATACAGGCAGTCCACGACTTATGACCACAATTGAGCCCAAAATTTGTTAAGTGAATTTTGCCCCATTTTACCACTTTTCTTGCCGCAGTTGTTAAGTGAATCATTGCGGTTGTTAAATTAGTAACTTCCCCACTGACTTTGCTTGTCAGTAGGTCACAAAGGGGATCACATGAACCGTAGATGCTGCAATGGCATGTGTATGAACCAGTTGCCAAGCATCTGAATTTTGATCACAATTGTGGGGATGCTGCAATGTTTGTAATATGAAAAATGCTCATATGTCACTTTTTCAGTGCTGTTGTAACTTCAAATGGTCACTAAATGAACTGCTGCAAGTTGAGGACTACCTGTACTGTATTTCAACACCAATTCCCATCAGTTAAAATATATATATATATATATATATAATCCACACAAATACCATACTTGCCTCTTTATGTTCTAGGAGAGGAAGTGCATCGGTCAACAAAGTCATCCAGAAGGAGCAAGGAGCGATACGAGCTGTCATCAGCATCAGTAGCAGTTTGGCTGCTGCAAAGAACTTCTTCTCCCCATACATGCGATGAAATTCCCGGTACTTTCCTATAAAAGATGTTAAGGCAGTCCTCTCATATTTAGAACACCCATCAATTCTCAAACTTTGATCCTACACATTTGCAAAAAAGTTGTCCTGTATTATTTGTTTTTTTGTTTCTTTGTGTAGCAATTTTATGCTACAAAATTGTTCTGGGTGGCAGCAAAAGACAGAAAAGACATTTGTAACTAAGATCCGTTTAAATCAATAGCCCAAATCCCATTCATATCAAAGAAACAAACTGATAAACCATTACTGAGTGGTGTTTAAAAGTATGCTTTGTGCTAACTAAAACAGTTTTGAAATAAGTTTAGCTTTTATTTGGAAACTAAAATATAGCTTACTAACGCAGTAGCCTTTGAAAAGGCAAGAAAAAGACATTGATATAATCAAAGTAAAATGTTTAGATCAAAGATTCTCAATCATATGGGCAACATACTTTCCCTGCCCAGCATAATATCTGAGGCTTTGAAACCCTCCAGTTCAGGAAAACAGGAGGGATATTTGTGAGCATGGTGTTTTTCAGTTTTGGAAGTTTTAAGTGGGAAGTGACAACCTTCAAAGTTTGAGCAAATGCTTCAAAAATAAAGGATTTTTCAAATTCTACTTCCACTCACTTCAGTGGCTTCACAGCATCACAGCATAAAACAGCTTCCAGTCAGGACAAAAAAAGTGACTCCCAAGCAAACAAAATGGAACCCTACTGTCAAAAAAGATGGAATCACTCACCAAGAAATGTTAGTCGATCGCTAAGCAACATGGATGGACCCAAGTTGTCAATGAGGTCCAAGTCTGAGAAAGTACCTCTTTCACAATATTCTCTCAAAAATCTAGATAACAATATGGATAAAACGGCAGGTTAGCACATACAGCCATTGGTATGTACTGTATATACTATTAATTATAAAAGTGACTTCCTTATAAGCAATGATTATAAGGATTTAGATGAGAACCATGAGAAGTTCTAATCAAGTAATCTGTTTTTATCTGCATGAAGTTACAAAACATTTCCCCAAATGTTATATAACTATAGTCAATGAGTACCAAAAAAATTGAAAAAAAATTAAAGAAACACAGCTCAAATTCCTAATTATATTTTAGGGGGAAGAAAACCCACAAGGGATTTATGTAGGTAATCTTTCATGTACCTAATCTATTTTTCTCACAGAGCGAAGAAAAGGGATTACAAGAGAATAAGGCACACAATGGTAATTGCTTCCAATGTGTATTCCCCAGTAGATACCTGCTTACCCTCTTGTAATATTTTCCTCTCTAATATATATAAATACAAACATTAATTCCCTTCTTGTTCCTAAGTCCAGGGCCAGAGTGAGTATTCCAAAGAACAGGAGTGTGAAAAAGAAGCGAAGCAGACTTTATAGGAGCAATAACATTAGCGATGCAGTTACCAGTCCCAACTAAGTGAGAATTAGCTGCAAAACATTTTAATAAAAACAGCAGCAGCAATTCTCTGAAATGTAAAATGGCTTCTCTTATACTGTATATTAAATACTACAGATCATTGATGAAAATTGACATATTAAATGACATCAACTTTTTACCTATTCTGTTTCATCATTCTACTGTTTAGAATGTACTTATAGCACAAACAATCCAACACTAACAATTGCAATATGATCCTTTATTAGGATTGCCAAATTCAAAGGAAGCATTGTCTCTAGCAATTATATTACCCTAAACCTTTAGATAGCTGTAGTAATTTGCTGTTTCTGCAACTTAATAAGAATTCTGCTTCCCCAAATCCTACCTGTCTGATATAAGGGTAGCAAAAGCAGCATCTTTGGCTCGGATGCTCCAGGATAGCGCTGAGCCAAGACGATTGTTCCGGACAGCCTTCATGGACATGATTTTACAGATGCTACGAACTGGGATGGGAAATGATGGAAGCATACTTGGTAAGTGATTCTTTAGAAATAATTACATTGAAAAAAAAGTTTTAAAGAGAGTCACCTTGTTCAGTCATTGATCTCTGTTCACAAATCCTCAGTACTTTCAGGGCTTTACGCTCTGTATCCAAGGAAATCCGTTCAATATGATGCTCTAGGTATGCTTTACCATATTCTGGACAATAGTCAAAATAGTCAACTGCAAGTTGCCATAAGCTGCAAAGATGGAACCCATAAATATTGAATTGCCTCTTCGGCACAGAGTAACTGCTTCAGCCACTAGCCTACACAACAAACACTAAAACAGTGAATCTCCTATTAGTTTTGTACATTCACTTTAGAGTTCCCCTCTACCTAACTGCTTTTAGAGAAGCCTAAGATCAGTAAGACATTTGTTGGAAAAGCCTTTTAAAATTGAGAAATTAAATCAATATAATGCATGAACATTTTGCTTAAACAATCTTATTTTTTCTCTTTTTAACTCAACAGATTAAATAAAACAGCCAGAGTCTGAGAGTAACATCTATAAATCTGAGAAAAAGGGACATATGTACAGTATATGAATATACTACTTGAGCATAGTGATTGACCTATGATAAATTTTTTGGCCCAGGGACTTTTGTGAAAAATCACTTAATATTAATATTGGTTAAAGAAATGATGAACTTCATAACACTGCTTTCCCTAAAATATTCAGAGAAGTCAGACATCAGTGTGGAAGCACTACAGACACCAGCAGCCTACCAGGCTCCTACAGAGGGGACAGAAGTAAAAAAAAAAGGCATTCTTTGTGGGAGGGTTTTGTTCTTTTGTCCAATGTTGGTATATACTGTATTTTTATTTTACTCATTCTGGGAACATGGCGAAGGTCTGGAATATGACCCACTCATTTAAGATTGCCACTTTACTCTCTTTTAACCAGCCCTAATATCAGAGAAATGAACTTTCTACAATAGGCTGGAAGTGGGAGAGTGTTTCAAATTTAACCTGTGCTGCTATGCAAGGTATTTTCCTAGGGATCACAATCTCAATGCTTCAGCTAAATAAGATTATGTCTCTCTGTACAAATGAGATTATTAGACTTAACTTACTGAATCAGAACCATTATGTTCACTTATCCCATATACTTAATGAAATTGATTGCTTTATCATTCCACCTAATTGAGAATTAGAAATGTTTATCTATTCTTTAGTATACGTGAGATTCTAATTAGCACTAAAACTAACAATCCATTTTCTTTTGGATGGTTGTTAAGGATATCAATTAGCCCTTAAGCATGAAACATTAGGAATTCAAATAAACCTGAAAATCTTCAATCAATTAATAAATAGAGAAGCTAGTAAATAAAAAGCATTTGCACATAAAATACTTCGATGTTGAAGTGATACGAAATGTTAATACTGTATATTATTTCAATTCCATTCAGCAGAGAACCTTTAGTAAATTAGAATAGAGATTAAATGTCCTTTATCTTGAAGCCATTTGGGAAAACTATCTAAATACTGCCTAGCATGCATTACAGATTTACCATATGCATCATTTAAAACAAGCAGGTGCAGATCTTCTAGATTAGACATTCTTCATTGTTCTCTTCCACTCTATTTATTAATGTATTTCCCTCACTTTTAAATCAATGGGAGAGGATGTATCACTGCCTGTTCTAAGGTTTACAAGATTCTATGCCAGTTTGGAAGTGCAAGTGGAACCAGTAGATTTAGGATATCCATGATCCCACTTTATGCACTTTTTCAGGGGATAGGTAGGTACATTTTCCAGTATACATATCAGCTTTCTTTATCTGAAGTCAGAGCCCATATCCAACTTCAGAAGAGGAAATCTGATACATCGAAAGGTGCTTGTGATACTTTCCCAAAGACTAGAATTGTAGGGCTCCCACTCTTATTAAGAGCAATAACTCTTTGTAAATCATATGGTTTTTCCCTTGCCTTTTCATTACTGAAAACACAATACTGTCTATAGATGTGTGAGTGTGTACAAATATAAACAAAAACTCTTACCTATGATGGGCAAAGAGTCCCGAAGCATATTCTAACAGGAGGTATTCACGCATATTGGAACCAAAGCTAAGGAATAACATAGTATATCAATTTTCTAACTGACATATAATATTTCTGACATAATTTCCTTCAATATCAAATATTTTAAGCCCCAGTAAAAAAGAAAAATTAGAACAGAAATTAGTGGAATAATATAATCAGAAATAGAATTCTTTTCAGTTTGGTCACACATACATTAAATGAGATTCATTCAACCTCAGTCTTGCTTCTGTAAAATGGCAATAATACTGTCACTACTTCTCTTTCAGGAATTACCACAATTATGTATATGGAATCCCTTTGGACAGTTTGAAGGATACATAAATTATTCTAAAAAAGGAATTTAAAATTAAGGCAGTTTTAAAACAGAGCCTGATAATGAGCAGAAAGGGAAACTTACTAAAGATTGTGGGACTGGAGTAGATTGCAATGGTCCAAGAGGTCTGTCAGATGAGCTACAAACCACCAGTTGCTCAAGGCAATGCTGCAAGTACAAAATCACAAGGAATCTAAGACTGCAGTATAACACACGATATAAAATATATTTACATGTTCAGGAAAACAACAATCCATACTTTATTACAGCATCTTATTTGTTCACTAAATACTTTTGCCACTTTTTATTTTTAAAAGTTTTCTGGCTTTTTGGTTTGTATGCTGCTTTGTTTCAAATCATGACATCAATCATATACAAATCAAGAATTCAAAATACAAAGATGACAAAACTCACCTGCATTCTTTAATCACTTGGTGGATATCAAATTCAAAAGCTGCCAATAAGATGCTGTCTAATGGTTCCGGACTGCTTTCTCCTCCCAGAAACATGTCCAGGCTGGACTGTGGAATACACAAAGATGTAAAACACTGAAGTTGTGTCTAGCTATACTAGATATGTTCTCTCTCAGTAAAAGACCACCAAGATTTCTCAAAAATAACAAACAGATTATTTAAAATGCACACTCAACTGCCTTTTTTAATTGGAATTGGCTATTTTCAATCACTGGGAAAGTCAGAGCAGTATTAGCATTTCCCAAATCAAAGCTAGCGTATTGATACAATGTTCTGATAGTCTTGTTTTGATAAGACTAAACTTAGTTCAATACAATGGGTGTTCCATTCTAGAGGTTTTCCAGGATTTGCTACTTTGTAAATGTCATGCTACTATCAACTATCCACCTTCTCTTTGTTACATAAAAAGGCACTACTCAAGACAGGCCCTGAAAGCAGCAGCAGCATCTTTTTCCTGTACAAGGTATGATCACTTGCCTTCCTATTGGACAGCAAAAGGAGAGACGCAACCATGCTCAAATGGCAGAATATGTCACCTGGGCATAAAGATGGAGTTCCACGTGCTTCACGGTAGGATGACAATATAATAGCCGGGTCACAAGAAAGTGGTACCAGGTTGTCATTAGCTCTTTCTTTTCCAAAATAGCATTCTCATCTCCAAGTAGGATCTAAAAAAATGAACAAGAGTTCTTAAGGATTCAGTTTTGACTTTAAAAAAAGCTCCCATCAGCTCAGGGTTTTAATATATAGTATGCCAAATGTGACCTTATTAGGCTGAAAATGATCATCCATGCCTCTGTTATCTAACAGCTGAATAAATGTAATTCATGTGCTTACTAAGCATTTGTATGATAAGTAGTCCTCATTTAACAACTATTCGTTCAGTGACCATTCTAAGTTATTGCAGTGAACAAATGGCAGTTACAACTGATCCTTGAAGTTCCTGCCTTTAGCACCCCAGAATCACATGATGAAAATTTGGGTGCTTGGTAACCGCTTGGCCCACAGCTAAACTGCATACATAAAGATATTATATTCCAAATCCCATCATTAGATGACCAGATAATCTCATTCATATATATACACACACACACACACACACACACACACACGCACCTTACAAAGGTCTTCCATGTGAGAATTAGAAGCAAATGTTCCATCTTTCAGAAACCTCTCACATTCCTCATGCCAGTGCTGCCATTTCAACTCCATCTCTGTCAAAGTCTGGTTACTGCTAGGCTGCAAAGGGATACATAATAAAAAGGTTTTTGAAATCCTTATTGCAGTATTTCTCTTAATAATTTTCCATAAAAACAAACAGCTTTGGTGTTTGTTTTATTCAATGGGAGGCAGAATATTAAGAGTTTCAAGCGATTTGTGCAGAATAGAAGATAAAGTTTATCCAAGGAATGAGGTATTTAAATTGGAACTTGAAAGAATACATGATGTGATAGAAATTTCTACAGTAGAGCAGGATAACATACTGGTGACAAGTATCTATCTATCTACTTACCTACCTATCTATAGAAAATTTATTTCCTGTGTTATACATTATAGATACTATCTAGATAGTATCTATCTATAAGGTATAACTTATAGGAAATTAATTTTCACTATTTAAATGGAAATTATTTCCAAATATATTGGCTCAGGAGTATAGCTAAGCTGCAGAAATAGCATTCTTTTTTAATGCACTATCAATGATTTTGTAACATTATTTGGCTGAGGCAAGACACTTATCTTCATAGTAGTATGAAAAAAAATTGGAATTAATCCACGTGGAAAGATCTCTCCTGGAGACCTTCAACCACTCAAAACAAAAGTCCTGAAAACTGGGTAGTACAAACCTATGATCAGACTTAGAATTAAGCAAGCTTTATGTTTTTGAAAATATATTTTTATTATATCATTAAGATCTGTAATATTACAGATAAAACTGCAAACATACACTGAGAACAGGCATCTTCTTCATCAGCTCATCTAAAACTTTGCACATGTGCACTGAAGTGGGTTTGGTACTAGCTTCTTTAGAAAGTAATTGCCGGGCCTCATCCATTCTACCCTGAAGCACATAACCAGTTACCTGAAAAATATAAAAATGATTTTACACATTAATACTAACATCCACACCATGCATGTATGGTCACACTGACATATACTACCTTATAAGAGATATAAAACTGCAACTTAAGTAAAACAGGTTTAAAGTGTTCTGACAGAAATATAATGGCTCAGAGGCCATTTTTCCTATTCACCAAAAAACTAGATTGTTATTACACAGAGCTAAGCACTAGTACATTAAGCTCCATTCTAGGTCTGTATAAATTGTAAATACGAAGTTACATAAGGCAGCCTTACGGTCAGACTTTTAAACTGATTTTGATGTGAGAGTTTCTTGCAAACCACAGCTACTATTTCACATTTCTAGGTGGCTCAAACACTATAAGCTCTCTGTCATCATTGATTCAGTGTAATAAGTTGAATAAAACTTACACTTTACATTGGATTCAATTAAACAATTTTCTGAGCAAAAATGAAGCACAGCAGTCAGGCGCTACTGCTTCCTGGATGAAAACATTCCTTACCACATTCCAGAAATTTTCATGTTTTGCTGGATTCTCACTCCTCAGAACTTCACAAACCATGTTGTCTATTTCACACACATGAAGACGGACCCAATCAAGCAGGTGACATAACACCAAACCCGCTGGAAAAAATAAAGATACATGCCTATGAGCCCAAAGAACTGTCTTGAGATACTACTTTTAGAAAATATAATCCAACTTCAATATGCCTTGCGCTGGTGCACTGCAGGCAACATCAAAATGTTATTTCCTATACTGAGGATATCATATCATAGTAAAGATGTAGTTATACAGTGGATGATGTCATACTGATTTATCTGACGATTAGAATCTACAGCACCTAGAAACTAGCTGCTCAATCAGAGTGTGACAGGAAGTAGTTCAAGACAAAAGTCTCCTGGGTCGATGCAGTGCGGCTCCCGTTTCCTTACTCTCTTGCATGCTGGTGGGGGAGGGCTCCTCAGTTTGTTAGTGGCAAGGGCCAGACCCAGAAAACCAAGCCTGTGAGCTGCAACAACCTGGGTGGGCTCAGCCAAATAACAGCTCAATGCATCATGTATCCTTTTTGCTATGCATTGTAACTTTCAGTTCTCACAGTACAAATCAGAGTATTTTGTTGCAGTAGGCCAGCAACCAAAATGAAAAGCAAGCATCAGAAATTAATAATGCCTCCACCCAAGTAACAGTATGGTCTGTCATCAGCAACAACCTTTTCTTACAACTGTTGCCAAAAATTTTGTCCTTAAATAATAGAGGAAAAAGCCATTGTCTTCAATATGATAAATATGATGGCAGGGAGGTATTTCTTCCTCAGCTCAGAAAGATATTATGAAGATACCTAATTAGAAAAGCAGCGCATGAAATTCTAAGAGAATATGTGAACAATGTAAAAGTAATCTTGTTTTCATTATAATTCAACATTCACCTGGAGCAGCTTCAATAAACATGATTTCACAGAGATTCCAGATCAACTCCATTGCAGACAAAATAGAGACCTAAGGACGATAAACATCAATTTACTAGAGATTTCCATTATAAAGCTTTAACTCTTCCTAACATGAAAAATAAGAATAAAAAAAGTGAACACTGCTTAAATTGAATTTGCTGCAAATAGAGAGGATATTATTAAAGCAAGTCTTTTAGATTCTATTATCTACTAGCTGAAGAGCCATTTTGGTGTAATGGTTAAGGCACTGGGTTAGAAGACTGTACATTCTAGCCCTCTTTAGGCACAAAACCTCAGGCGAGTCACCCACTCAGCTCCAGAAAAGAGACAATGGGAAATTACTTCCATAATATTGCCAAGAAAACTGCAGTGACTAGTCAACAGTGACACAAAGGCACACCCCTCCAAAAACAACAGCAGGCTCAGAATGTTCAAGCTCAACGTTTAAACTTTTCAGACTGATGAGTATGAACTTCTATGTATTTATATTTTTCCATAACCTGGAGCAGAAAAGAGGGATTATCTTATTTGGAAGTGGTTTAGAAATTCAGCATTAAGCAAAATTCCCATCTCCTTCACATAAGAAATTGAATCGGCTGAGAGCATACAAATCTATGAATCTTTGAAAACGGCACCTACCATACTGTAATGGTAAAACCATAATAATAGAATATGACATCAATTTTTCCCATAGCATATTCTTTGTTTCCAAAACTTTTTGAACAAAACTTTTAAGACCAGAAAATGTTTTAAATAAAACATTTATTCTCTTAGTTGTAGGAATAACACCTGTTCTTTTGGGTGCAGTTAAGTTTAGAGTTAAAATCAATGGAAGAAACACATCTATAAGAAAAACAGCTGCTTTTCCAAATGAAAGTAACTTTCAGGAATAAGAATAGGAGCAGTATGAAAGGATTATGTAGCCTTTTACTTCACTGCCATCACTCCAATATCACCTGCAAGAAGCATATTCATTCCCACAGGACAGCAGAAACATTTTGAAAAGAGTAAACACAGGTTGGCAAATACATGCACAAACACAAGTGGGCAAATAATCTGGAGACAGAATTCAGAAAAATGACAATTTGGGTAATAATTAAGCCTTTAACATGTTTTACTACTTCTCCATTATCTTTGTAATATAAACACAATTGACTAGCTATCCAAAGTTATATTAGCATTTATAGTTAGATCCTGGACATTCAATTTTCAAAATTGGTTGATGATATTATAAAAGACACATCAGTGGAATCTATAGATATGCAGAACAAAAGGACTAAATATTGTTGGACAAAATAAAAGAGATGATATAAATTTAGAACTACAACTAAGAAGTAAAGAAGTAGACACATTGCTGAACAAGCACAATTTAATTCTAAGTAGATTGTGGCATTGTGCCTGCTACTATAGATAGCAAATACTTTACCAGATTCTAAAATAAATGTAATGGTTTGCATTGAAACTAAAATAATGGAAAATACTAGTAATAAATTATTCTCCAACACCCTATCAAAATAAAAATATGCACGTTACCTGAGTGCTGTAGTGCACATGCATTGCAGAATCCCGTGCAGATACTAAATCAAAGAAAAATACAGAAATCAATATTTATACATTGTTATTATTCAGCTTCACCAAACCACAACCATTGTTTATTTCAGGTCTTATAATACATTGGAGAAAGATTTGTACATTGTTCATTTTCCATTTTTACTAGTTACATTCAAAACACTGTAACTTTTCTTTAGAGGTCCAAGTAATTATTATAGGAAATACATAAATCTTAGTGGGTTGGTTGACTGTTCATTTTTGGAACCAAATCTACAGCCAAATTTCACAAGCAGTTTGCAAGTATCTGTTCAGACTATGAATCATTCTGATTTGTTTTAAAACAGTCTGTTGTAGACTCAGTTCCAGAAGCTTCTGTTTAATAAAAAGTAGAAAACTTACTAGCCATCTGATGTGAATCTTCCATGCAGGCTCTTATAACCGATCGATAGCTTTTGCTTACTCCAACCAATCTATCCAAAAAAGGAGAATAGTTTGATTTTGTTTTAAGCATCATGTCAACAAGTGCCAGGTTCTTTAGTAAAAATAAGCGATAATATCAGATCCCAATAGCCTCCAGACACTGGGACAGGATATCATGGCATCATTCAAATGGTTTGGGTGGGTGTCAGTTGCTACAACTGTACAGGTAGTCCTCAATGTATTCTGTTGCAATGATGTTGAACAAATGGTGGTTACAACCTGTCCTGAGAGTTCCAGCCTCCACAGCATCAATATGATAGCAATCTGAGTGCTTTGCAATCCACTTGTGCTTACAACTGATTGTAATACCCCACAATTATGTGATCACCATTTGCAAACTTCTCTGCCAGCTTCCCCAGAAACTCAATAAGGAAAAGTTGCAAGTCACTGGAGTATGTCTCCCTCATTCACACACCCTCCTCAGACCCTTAGAACTTTTGCTGCACCGGCCATACGCACACCATCTCAAATGATCACTCTGCCTTCCTTGCACATCTCCATGGACCCTCCCTTGTACCCTTGAGCACCCTCGCTGAGCTTTGCATCTATCCGACACCCTTTGCACCCTCACTGACCCATGTCATGCCTACTTCCCTTGTGCACTCATGCACCATGAGCCTCCTCCCCAACAGTTGCTGTGCCTCTCACACACTCTTCCCAAGCCTTGCCTCCAGAGGTGGTATTCAGCCGGTTCGGACCGGCTCTGGCATACCGGTAGTGGAAATTTTGAGTAGTTCGGAGAACTGGCAAATACCATCTCTGGCTGGCCCCTCCCACCCACCCCCGCCGTTACCTCTCCTATATTCCCTTGTTTTTTAGCTCAGCTGATTTGCGCGGCAGAGCAGATTACTGCACTCCAGCTGAACTAAAAAAACAGGTCAGCTCACCAGCGTTGACAGAGGTCGGTCTTTGAGTCCTGCGCGCATGCTTAGAACTGTGCATAGCACCGGTAGGGAAAAAAATTGAAAACCCACCACTGCTTGCCTCCCTTATACTCTGGTGTACCTTGCATTTTCCACATCCTCTTCCCAATTCTTGCCCGCCTCTTTCATGTCCTGGCTCTTGCTGCATCACCCTCACCCTCATACACCTACTCACCCTTCCTTGTACACCATCCCTAATTGGTGCTCACCTGTCTTGCTTCACAGAGCCATAGCACCCTCCTACACCTTGCAGCAGCCTCTTAAATGCCTGCTGGCCTACTTGCAAACCATTTGGGCCTTGCAACTTTCTGCTAGCTCCCACAGTGATTTGGTTGTGGGAAGTTGGCAGGAAGTTGCTTTGCCTAATGAGAGTAGGATTCAGTTACGCTTTATGACCACACTGCTTAGCAATGTAAATTCCAGTCCTAATTGCTCAAAGGCTATCTATATTCTGAAACATTATATGAATGTTTCAATTTTATGCTAGCGAATAATTACATTGAGTAGGACTTAAATGTTTCTGAACTCTTTTGAATTTTCAATATTTCTGCAAAAATATGACTTAAAAATGTGTTCTGAATTAAAGTCCTCCAAGTCAACTGGCAGGAATGATCTAGAGCAGCTGAGTCAAACTCGTGTCATGGCAGCATTACATGACTTATCGGGACTTTTTCCCCCTTCACTAAGCCGGTCAGGGGACACCCCTCATCTACAGTTATTGGAAACATATTGCTGCCTAAGAGGGGCATACCAGTTCCTGGAAGGAAAGCTTCACGTATTTTTGCCACGCACAAATATATAGCTTTGGATTATTTTCCTCAATGAATGAACAAGTATGTTTTTGACTCATTTAACTGGATTTGTTTTATCTAATTTTAGGATTTGGGTAGAGAAATAGATCAACCTTTAGGTCACTCTGAATGATGGAGAAATATTGAAAATTCAAAAGTATTCCCAAACTCTTAACCAACTCTATGCACCAAAATACAGAAAGCACTGCAGAAGACTTTTTAAAACTCAACAATACTTTAGATAATTACTGTGCAGTTCTTGACTTTCCAGCCTTTTCTTTCTCATTCTTCTGGAGTCCAACAAAGATCCCGTGTGATTCATTGAAAAGCTTCCGCAAAGTCTGAGAATAAACATCTTGATCTTTGCGTACCACATAGACAAAAGGACAACCTGGAGTCTTCTCTATAGCCTCTGAAACAAATGATGTATAAGTTTCTATTTTAATTGTACAGTAAATACTATTATTTAAAATTGGAATTCTAAATATATTGCAAATGGATATATGTCAAAGCCAAATTTGAGGAATATAATACATAGAGTTGGTATCCTCATTGTTGGCTGTTAAAGGGACAGTAATTCTATAGGGCCTTTAGGGAATAGTCATAGTTACATTCACAGTTTCATATCTATGTTCTTATTGTTATTTATATTTTTTGTGTTTTTATATACTGTATTGTAAATCACCAAAATCGTGAATATATCATGGCATATTCAAAATATTTATATAACCAAATAAAATAAACATGTAACTTTAATTATTAACAATATTCTATAAAGCTCATATTACAATAACTTTACAATATATTCCATAGGAGAAACAAATAATCAAAGGTTTTAAAGCCTACTATTACATCATGTAGGACTTTCTAATAAAATCTGTGTAGTGCAAAATGAAAATTATGATCTAACATAAACAATGATCCTTACAATCAGTTCATAACACAATAATAAATTTGGGGATTACTAATAATGGAAGACTATCTATTTTTATGTCTTCCCTTTCTTTCTAATTTTACTTTTTAAAAAACCTCTCTTCTATGCCCCGAATGCTTTTGTATCTTCCAATCAGAAATAGTCAAAAATTAGAGACAGCACTAGTGGCAGCAAAATGGTGGTCTATGCCTCAGAATAGTCCAACACTGACCCTTTAACTGTCTATGGTAATATGGAGGCATGCTTGATGAGGAAGCAACCCTCCACTTCCATCAGGAACTGCTTTGGTTTTTTATGTTTTGTCAATTGTGGGCATAATAGAGGAATTTCTTGGAAAGAGAAAGTCCAAGAGAACGCATACAACTATGGATAGCTTTTGAAGCAGTCAAATGAACCTTGCAAAGGGTATCATTGTTTTAGTATATTAAAGAGAGAAGTTTTAAGGTGCCTTGCAAATACCACATTCAAAAATTTTATGTAGTCCTAGAAAGATGTGGTTAAGAGAGTTATGAAATTGTCGTTAATTGCATCTCCAGTAACCAAACTTAAGCTAATTTCATTACTTCATATACACGATTAAGCAAGTCAAGCTCCCATATTCTCAGATGGCTTAATATACGAATAATACCTTTAAAATTGCGATCTTCATTGTTACATCTTCCCAAGATACACCAGACCACACTTTTATTGATTAATATTACTACTAATTTATATGCTATCCAACTCCCAGGGATTCTGAGTAGTTTATAAATTGTTAAAGATATTTAAAAGTAAGTAATAATACAATTTTTTTTAAAAAGAACAAAGACAGCAGAAACAATCTGAATGGAAATAAGAAAAAGTAAGAAAAGGGGCATCATTAATACAAATACCATGTAAGCACTAAAATTTTAAATTTATTTTTAGTAAACTTTTTGCTTCATATGTTTTAACAATCACTTGTGTGATAAGGTTCCCATTTTATTTTTCTAATATTTATTTCCTTTTACAGACAGAATGGTTAGGGTTAGAGAAAACGTTAAAAAAAGGAATGTAGTTAGCAAAAGAAAGGATAAAAAGAGGTCACTGAAAACCATTTGCTCAAAGCTGAGAAAACTGGAGCTTCAATTCAAACTAGTTCCAACAGCTAATCTACTCCAACATCTTGATTTAGTTTATTCATATTATGAGCATATTAAACAAACAAAACAACTGCATTTAATAAAAGATGTTGCCAACCTGTTGGCCTAAACAAGGTTTCGCACACCAACATCTCTGTGGGTCCCCATGTAAAGCATAACTGTTTCTGGTCAGAGTTCACTCCTGGAATAAGCTGTTTAATAGAAAGAAAATAAAGAATTGGACAATCATGTTGATATTAATGCAATCAAAAGCTATTTAAATCATCAAACACTTTAAAAGCAATAACTACAGCTGAAAGTATCGCTATATACATTGCTGTAACCGAAAGGAACATGTACAGATGATCTGTCATCCATGATATCCAAGACAAGCTACAGTATAGCTATATATGGTAAGCATACAGGGTTCTGTTAGGTTATGATCCATGAGATCACTTAGCAGCCCCAATGTGAAGTGTTGGGATCAGAGTCAAAGTGATCACACAGCATCTCGCTTATCAGCCATGTCACTCAATGGGGGAGACTCTGGTCCCAATTATGGTCATTAAGCAAGGACTACCTGTAACCCATTTCAGAAGAACATTCCGTAACTTGAGTAAAGCTGTGTCAAGGAATTTCATCCAGATATCGGGACAGCTAAACTATCCTGACATGCACAAACTGCAAACATTAGGACAAAATCTTTTATGTCTGTATCTACACATAAGAAATCTGATGACAATGCAATACATCATTAACAGTATATCTAAAGTTTTTTTTTTATCAATTCCACACAGAATGAACCACATTTGTGTTTATCCACAGCTTAAAGAGTTGCTACTTAGGTATTAAGTCAGCTTTCTGTGTAAAACTAAAACCTTGGTTAGACAGCCGGTCACTCAAAAGTTTTTATTCATTTTTATTCCATCCCACCTTTATTTTCTTGAAGTTTAACAGTAACACCATGATATAGGAGTTGCAACAGAACAGTCTCTTTACATAGGCACCCATACATTGCATAACAGAAACAATTCATATAGTTAAAAACTGCTTACACCTAATATTCCATATGTGAAATACTGAATAAATCTTTACAATGCAATTTTTTGATAGGACATTGACATCTTCTTTCTGGTTCCCATAAGGTTCTCTATTATCAGCTTTGCTTTTCCAAAAAGTTTTGTTCAGCAGCCGGTCCTGCCTGGCATTGCTTAATTACGGCATCTCCTACGGTAGGATTGTCCATCCACGACTGCGTCAAAAGCAACAATACCAATAAGCAGGCTTTCGATTCCTTCCGCGATGGCCATGCAGTGGCTTTCCCTCCCTAACGGGGAAACCGCCACAAGCGAAGCTTTCCCTTCCGATGGTGGAGGTCGCCTTCCTGCCGTCTCTTAATTCTTCCCTCAGTGCTCCTCTACGACGGTTCCCCGAGTGCCATGCGCCCGGTCCCGGGCACAGAAGGGCCCCCCTGAAACTCACCGTGACCGACGGCTCCACGTCCAACTCCTCCATGCCGTCCAGCGGGGAAAGGCCGCGCTCCGACCTCCCTCGATTTCTTCTTGTCCTCCGCGCCTCGGCGGCGGCGCTCTCAGCCAATCACCGGCCGATGCAGGTGCCGCGCGCGCGCGCCCGAGCCGAAGGACCCCATTTTCCCTTTATCCGACGCTAGAGATAGGAAAAGCAGAATAGCACAGTTCAGTTGTATTGCGTCACTTTCGATTCCTGCGGAAAAAAAAACAGCAGCAAGAAACAGAAACTATAACTTCTCCCATCTTCCTCTCTCAGATCCATGACATCCGCTGTACGCTTGTGAAAAGCGGAGCTCAGTCTCAAAGGACACTGTTACCACGAATCAACTTTCTAACGCAGAGGATTCGTTTTCCGTTCCATCCCCTTTAATCTCCTTCAACCTACTGTTGTAAGGCTTTGAAAATGCCTTTCTTCAAGGCATCCCACAACATGAGATTGAGAAGAAAAAGGATATTATATTAAACTATTTTCAAAGATTATATAAAAAAGAAGAAATCAATGAGGATAAAATAAGAACTTATCTGGAGAATACGAATGATAAAACAATAGGGGAAGGAGACAAAGAATTACTAAATAAGGATATTACATGGTCTGAGTTAAAATCTGCAATGGAAAATCAATGTAATAATAAATCCCCTGGTCCAGATGGGATTCCAGTAGAATTGTATAAAGCCACAATAGATTTAGTAGGGCCTCTGATGCTGGAAGTGTTTAACGAAGTACTTTTGGCTGCCAAAATGCCAGACTCATGGAGGGAGGCGTTGATTGCGTTAATTCCGAAGGAGGATGTGGATGCCAGATATATCAACAATTATAGACCAATCTCACTTTTAAACGCCGATTATAAATTATTTACCTCAATTATAGCGAATAGAGTAAAACAAGTTTTAAATTTATACATTCATGAAGACCAAAATGGTTTCCTTCCATTCCGCCAAATTAAAAACAATTTAAGAACCGTTATTGACATCTTAGAATATTATGAAGCTCATCCAGAGAAACAATTTACACTCATGTTTCTAGATGCGGAGAAAGCATTCGATAACTTACATTGGCACTTTTTAATACAAAAAATCTATAACATGAATCTGGGCACTAAATTCGAGAATATTATCACAACAATTTACAATACCCAACAAGCCAATATACTAATTAATGGTGAACAAACAGGCCCACTAAGCATTGAAAAGGGCGTTAGACAGGGTTGCCCTCTCTCACCCCTCTTATTTATATTTGCTTTAGAATCATTGTTAACGTGGATAAGACAAAATTCTGAAATCCAAGGAGTTAGGGTCAAAGCAGAGGAATATAAATTACAGGCGTTTGCAGACGATATGGTTTTCTTCCTAGAGGATCCCATGGAAAAAGGACATAATCTAATAAAAGAGCTAGAACAATACGGCTCAGTAGCAGGATTAAAGATTAACAGAAATAAGACGAAATTACTGACTAAAAATCTAACAGAGAACCAGAGGAAAGAATTAGAAAAAACCATGGGGATACAGGCAACAAAAAAGGTCAAATATTTAGGCATATGGTTAACACCACATAGTAAATCACTCAAAGAGAATAATTATGATAAACTGTTACAGCAAATTAAGAAAGATCTAGAATCTTGGAATAAGTTGCAGCTTTCTCTACTGGGCAGGATTGCCACGATCAAAATGAACATCTTACCAAAACTCCTTTACTTATTCCAGACAATCCCAATAAAATTACCAAAAAATTTTTTTGATGATATAAATAAGGTAACTCTTAAATTTATTTGGCAAGGGAAAAAAGCTAGAATCAGTATTAAGGCCTTACAAGATGCAAAAAGTAGAGGTGGGCTAGCGCTTCCAAACTGGGAATTATATTATTGGGCAGCCAACTTATTATGGTTAAAAGACTGGGTCAATTTACGGAACAAAAGAACTCTAGTCTTGGAAGGGCACGACCTTCAGAGAGGATGGCACGCATTTCTATGGGATGTGGGGAAAACTAAACAGGCGTACTTTCATAGACATCTTATTAGAGATTCACTATTAACTAATTGGAAAAAAATATGTAAAAAACATTATTTAAAAATTCCGATTTGGCTTTCAACAATGGAGGCAATGGTTCATCCCAACAATTTGGATATAACAAAAACGACTAAATATAAAGATTTATTAGACCTTTTAGGGAAATTAAGAACTCGACAGGACTTACAGGAACAGGGATTTAAAATTGATCAGTGGTTATATATACAAATCCATAGTAGATACAAACAAGATATCAAAGAGTTTGGAATCTATAGCAAATTACAACACTTAGATAAAATCTTATTAGGATCAAATAAAAAGAATATCTCTAAATTTTATAAATATTTATTGGAGGTAGAATTAGAGCAAGAGATAGTGAAAGGGAACATGATAATGTGGAGTAGGAATATTGGAAGAAGCATTACATTAACAGAATGGGAAAAGATCTGGAATAGAATCATTAAGATTACGAAATCTGCGGCGTACAAAGAAAATATGTATAAAATGTTATATAGAATGGCACTTATCCCCTTCGAGGTTAGCGAAAATGAACCCAAACTCTAGTCCAAAATGTTGGAAATGTAAAAACATAGAGGGAACCTACTTTCATATGTGGTGGACCTGTAAAGAAGCCCAGAAATACTGGCAAAAAATTAGAAAATGGCTGGAGGAGATAACCAAAGAACAAATCGAATACAAACCAGAGTTCTTCCTACTAGGGATCTCTGATAAACATTTTCCTAAAAAGACGAAATATATAATAATTCATATTCTAACTGCGGCCAGATTAGCATTTGCCCAGTGCTGGAAATCATCCTGTTTACCTACAGATCAATTGGTCATTCAGAAAATATGTGACTGCGCAGAAATGGACAATTTAACCATAGCTCTTAAAAATAAAGAGTCTTCAACATTTGATAATAATTGGAATGCGTGGTATAATTGGTTATATCAGAGATAAACTGTTCAAGGAATAATGGGTAATTTAAGCATAAATAGTAATAAGATGTGTATATTTAAAGTAAGGTAGGAGAATTGGATCTTGCAGACTGTCAAAAAGAATATCTGTTTGGTTTTAACGTATTTTCTTTTTTCTTCCGTCTCTTTGTTTTTTTTCTCTTTTATACTTCTTTTTCTCCTTTCTCGGTCGCAAGACCGAGCGTTTTTTCTTTTTCTTTTCCTCTCTCTTTCTCTTCTTTCTTTCTTCTTTTTTTCTCTCTGTTGCATATGTAATGTTGTTATGTTATTTTTTAATTGTAAATTCAATAAAATTTATAAAAAAAGAAAAGAAAATGCCTTTCTTCTGAGGATTCGGTTTTCCTGCTGGGAGAGCTCTGGTGCAAGGATACAGACAACTGCTTGAAAGTTGGATCTTTTTATTTTTCAGGAACGCGAGAGATAGCAAGAAGTCTGCATTCCTGGGGCTAGCTAGCTTTGTATGATAAGCCCCTGATTTTTATACTTTTTTTCCTCCTTTTGTGTGTGAGTGCTTGTGTTTGTATTTCTTAATGTTTTAAATCCTGTCAGAGGTTGTCTTCATTTCCGCCGGAGGGTAAACTCTGCGGGGTGGTTTGATTGGATTATCAGTTTCGTCCTAATGTTTTCTTATATTTGTTTTGTGGCAATCTCCTGTCTGTCTCCTTTGCAATATATTTTGTGTCTTTTGTCTGTTTGTTTTGCTGATTTGGCATGTTTTCTTGTTTCCCTAGTTTTCTTAATTATTTGGGCTTTTGTCTAAGGGGCTTCTTTAATACCTTTTCCTATGCAAGTTTATTTTATGTCTGGCTTGATGCTCCCTGTTAGTGATTTGGGGCAAACCCTCAAAACAGAATGTGCAGCAGCAGTCAAGCCAGGCAGCCAAATGAGAGAGGAAGGGCCCTAGAGTTTACACACACTGATGACAAACACTGTTTTTGTAGTTTAAATAGTTGTTTAATCCAATTAGA